ATCATGTTGGATGGACAAATTTATCTTAAGAATGTTAACATACAGTATTTTAGGGAGCTCTGGTAGCCTAGTGGCAAGAAGCTGTACTGCAATCCCAGAGGTGTGCAGTTCAAATCCACCAGATGCTCTGCTGGAGAAGGAGGGGCAATCTCCTCCTGTACCAGTCAGATCCAATCTGACGGTACATGCACAAAAAATGATAAAACAAAACACACACACACACACACACACGATACAATATTTTAAGAATATTAATAAACGTATTTTGTTGTTAGGTGCGATCTAGTAGACACAACTCATAGCCACGCTATGAGCAGATCTGAACCTGGCCTTATCCCGCGCCAATCTCACACCCTGCCAAGGGGCAGGTCCATGGTTGGAGTCATTGTCAATTCATCTAGCCAAGGGTTTTCTTCTCTTTGCCTGACCCCACCTTTCCCAGTCTTTTTCCAAGGACTGGCCCCTCCTAACATGCCCGAAGTATATGAGACAAAGTGTCACCATCCTTTGCCTCTTAAGGAACACACTGGTTATACTTCCTCCAAGAAGAGCGTTGTTCTTTTGACCCTTTATGGAATATTCTTTGACTTTAATTCTCACAACCTCCGCAGCATTATTATACTCATCTCAGTAAGACTAATTTGTCCAAGGTCATGTGGAAAGTCTAGGCACTTTGACATCATTATCATTCTTAATGTCTAAGATGGGAGCTCTGGTGACCCAGTGGCCAGCAGCTGTGCTCCAATCCCTAAGGTAAGCAGCTGAGGCCGCCCACCCCTCCTCGGGAGAAGGATGAGTGTTGCAGACAGAGGGTAAAGTATTTTTATAATTACTAATGAGACAGACTACAAAAACGAGATAGAACAGAAAGCATAAACGACAGGGGGCCAGCAGTTCCCATGACTGAAGGCCTCAAGCCATGCTTCTCTGAGTATTTATTGAGAATCATAAGTAAGGTAAACAAAGGAAAATCTTAAGGGAGTAGAAAACAAAAACAAGGGATCATGGGGAAGTCTTTTGCAGATAAGGCCAAGTTCCTCTCTACTGTTTATACTTCTCTCAGGAGGGAGGGATTCAGTAAATACAAACTAAGAATAATGTTGACTCTTAGGGAACGGCTTAGTGCCTCCGGATGAATTCTAGATTATATTAGGCCTCCCTCACATCCTGATATAGAATTTGGTTAATATTAGATATTCGGCTTCCCACAGATAGGCAATCACCTCCAAACAAAAAATAGTAGAATCAATTCTTATCTTTAGGTTTTTAATTGTTGTCCAAAATAGGATTTCATTCCAGGGTATCAAGGCTAAATAAATACATTTTTCTTATAAAAGCAATCAACTAGGTGCATGGAGGGTCTGAAGCTGTTTGGACACCTGGCAGTCACTATGAAGTTCAATCCTTTTGTGACCTCGGACCACAGCAAGAACCACAAATGCCATTTCAATGCCCTCTTGCATGTGCTCAGGAAGAGTATGTCCTTCTGACTCTACAAGGATCTGGTAAAAGTGCATACAGTCCATGCTCATTGAGGACAAGGTCCAGGTGACACAAGGACATTACAAAGGTCAGCAAACTGGCAAGGTAGTCCAGGTATAAAGAAAGAAGTATGTTGTCTACATTAAAAGAGTGCAGCGTGAGAAGAGAAATAGTACAATGTGTGCTATTATTACCCAAGCAAGGTGGTTTATCACCAGGCTGAAAGCGGACGAAGATCAAAAAGAGAATATTGAATGTAAAGCCAGATCTCAGCGAGTTGGTAAAGAGAACGGCTAATATATGAAAGAACTCACTAAGCCATCCCAGGAATGAATGTAACTTGTTGAGCAACCCCAGTTTAACTAGCCATCTAGCTGAGTATGTGTTCTTGTGCAAACATTTTTTTTTTTATTGGATCTGACTGGTACAGGAGGTGATTGTTCCTCCTTCTTCAGCAGAGCATCTGGTGGATTTGAACCACACACCTCTGGGATTGCAGTGCAGTTTCCTGCCACTAGGTCACCACAGCTCGCCGTGTGCAAACTTTTAAAATGCTCCTGTCATTATTTAGAAGTGGCTCTGTAAATCTGTCTTTGCAATTTTGATTCATAATTTTAATAAATTGGAAATGTTAAAAATCACCAACTAAAAATTAAACTTGTGACTCAATAAGACTTAAGTTACTACATCGACTGTGAAGCTCAGCTCATAGTAGAACAAGTACTGCTGGCTTGAGAAAAGGCTTAAGGTCCTTCCTGTCCCTCTGTAAGACTGTTTCCACAGTTAGGAAAATGAAAAGCATGTCAAACATTCACTACAATGCACAACAATGTCACACCTAAGAGATAAAGATATTTTTAACAATCTGAGGACCAAACTAGGAAAACCCAGCATGTCTAATATTCCATGACTATGGCAGGAACATACTTTGGACATGTTGTAAGGAGGGACTGGTCCTTGGAGAGGGACACATCATGCTTGGGAGGGTAGAGGGACAGCGCAAGAGGGGAAGGCCTTCTATGAGGTGGATTGAGTCAGTGACTGGGGTTATCAGGATGGGTTTATCAGAGATGGTGCGAATGGCACAGGACAGAGTTTAGGGCTGTTGTACATAGGGTCGCTATGAGTCACAAGCTACTCAGCAGCACATAACAACAACATGGCAGGACACTGATGGTCTAATCCCAGCACTGTGGACTCTAGGCCAGGCCCTTGAAAACATGCCACTCCTGTGATGATTTACAAGAAGATTGTAACCAGGCCACTGGCCTGAACTACTGGAGACACAGACCGAATACAATTTTCAGTAGAGTAATACTAAGTAGTAAGTATTATTGAACCATTTTCCAACAAGAAAGGCTACCTTGCAAAAGACCAGTTGAAAAGATGGTAGCATTTGTCAAGATTCATATCAGAATTAAAAGCAAAGAGGAAATTATGTCAATCTTTTATCAGCTCATTTCCTGGAAAATTGTTTTACCCAGATTCTAAGACAGAAGAGCTTCTTCAAATGTTTTGAGTTTTATATGGGTCAAAATAACATATTTTTAGAATTATTATCAATAAAAGTGCTAGAAAATACCATGTATTTATATCCTGGCTATGAGTCACAAGCGACTCGACGGCACATAACAACAACAACAAACAACAATATAAATGAGTACATATAAGGTATTAGACAGTGGACTGGAATTATATTCATGATGCAAATTCATGAAAAATTACTCAGTAATTTTTCAATTAGATATATTCATTAAAAATTTATTTGTCGTATTTGTCAATTGCTTAACATTTACTTTCTAGTCCTAGAGACAGCTGTTGCCAAGAGCCAAGCAAACTAAAGCTGTGAACAATCTCAATCTTTTCACCATCCATCCTGATGCTGCCAATTGGTCCAGTGGTGAGAATCTTTGTCTTCTTGACATTGAGCCTCAATCCGTATTGGAGGCTGCAGTCCTTGACCCTCTGCAGCAAGCGCTTCAGGTCCTCAGTTTCAGCAAGCAGGGTTGTATCATCTACATAACACAGATTGTTGATAGATCTTCCACCAATCCTGACGCCACATTTCTCCTCATAGAGTCCAGTCTCCTGGATAATCTGTTCTGCATACAGGTTGAAAAGGTATGGAGACAGGAGAAAAGACAGCAGCCAGGAAATTAAAAAGACTCATTACCATGGGAAAGTCTGCTGTTAAGGACCTCTCCAAAGTACTGAAGAGCAATGGTGTCTCTCTGGAGACTAAGGTACATCTGATACAGGCCATGGTCTTTGCAATCACTTGTTATGCATCAGAGAGTTGGACAATGACTAGGGAGGATAGAAGGAGAATTGATGCCTTTGAGCTATGGTGCTGGAGAAGAGTATTGAATGTATCATGGACTGCCAAGAAGACAAACAGATTCATCCTGGAGAGGGTTAAACCAAGCAACTCCTTGGAGGCAAGGATTCTGGGGCTTCGTCTGACATACTTTGGGCGTGTGGCAAGGAGGGACAGGCCCTTGGAGAGGGACATCATGCTTGGGAGGGTGGAGGAATGGCGCAAGAGGGGAAGACCCTCTATGAGGTGGATTGATTCAGTGACTGGGGTAACAGGGATAGGTGTATAGGAGACAGTGAGATTGGCACAGGATAGACCAGGGTTTGCAGCTGTTGTACATAGGGTTGTTATGAGTTGCAAGTGACTCAACAGCATATAACAAGAGACAGCTAAAGTTAGTAAGAAATGAAAGTAAGAAACAGCATCAATATTCATAATCTACTTATTTAGAAATCATTTTTACAAAATAAAAACCAACAAAGAATACTTTTTTTGAGGTGAAAAGGTAGTGTATTTTAATACAAAAATCACTATATGGAAATGCACACCAAAAAAGGGTGACCACATTGAAAAGTGATTTAAAAAAAAAAAATTTCCAGTACAACTAACAGGAAACTCAATATTCAAAGTCTACCAAGCTGGCAACCAGAAATAAGAACGACACCCCCAATATTCAGATATGTACAATTTACGTAAGCAAAGAATTGCAAAGTACAATAGAAAGAACACACACATACATATGTATACCTATACATGTTTTCTTTAAAAACACATTAACATGGTATTCCTTGATGTTATTCAGCTCAAAGATATTCTTAACTTCAAACTACGGCATCCTTAATACTTTATATATAGAAATATAAAAAAATTCACATTTTCCTAGAAACTATTAATTGGATTACATGTTTTGCATTTTTTTAGAGTAAAATCCACAAAAAGAAATTGTTATATGTGTGTTTGTCATAACATTTTCAAAAAAATGTTAGAGGGTTGTTAGTGATCTTTCCCAACACTTACATGGTAGAGTTGGGAAGAGCAGCACACATCAAGGGGGTGTTTAAAGAACTGTCAACTCACTGAAGAATTGTTCTTAACTAAGGAGAAGTCCTGCAGGGACACTACTCTCGAAACAAACACTGTCCTTTCCCAGGGGTCCTGACACACAGATGGGGTGGAGTCTTTTCTACAGGACCTTACAGTTCTACTGCTCTTGAAGTTGGGTCCAGCATCTGGGTTGGGGACTTCCTGGCCTGGTGTGGACCTCAGGCAGGTTTCTGACAGATAGAGATCATGTGCTGGGCTCGAAGACAGCAGCACCTGGGTCCACTGGGCTCTGCTGAGCAACCTTGTCCTGCAAGACAAACAAGAGGTTTACGTCACAAACAAGTTTACAATATAAACAAAGGGTTTGTATCACATTCCCCTTTCTGCTGTTGCTATTAGGTGCCACCTAGTCAAGTATGACTCATAGCAAACTTATGAACAACAGATCTGAACCCTGCCATATTCTCAGCATCATCTCTGACACATTCAAGCCCAATGATGCAGTCGCTGTGTCAAATCACTTGGTGGAGGGTCTTCCTCTCCTTCACTGTCCCTCAATCTCTGCAAGCATGTCATGTCCCTCTCCTCCAAGGAATAGCCTCTCCTAACAACATGCCCAAAGTATCTGACACGAGGCTTTATCATCTTTGTCTCTAAGGAGCACTCTGAATCCACCTTCTCCAAAAAATATCTGTTTGTTATCCTGGCAGTCCACAAGATGTTCAGTACTCTTCTTCAATACCGCAATTCAAAAGCATTCTTTCCTCTTCTGTCACCCTTATTCATTGTCCAGCCCTCAAATGCATAGCAAGTGGCTGAAAAGACCATGGTCTGAATCAGATGTAGTTTAGTCCTCAAACTGACATCACTGTTCCTCAAAAATGTAGAGAGGTCCCTGACTGCAGATTGTCCCAGTGCAATGTCTCCTGATCTCCTGAATGCTGGTACCAAGTGTACTGACCTGACTGTAGATCCAAGTAATATGAAGAATATGGAAAATTCTCATTTCTACAACATAAAAATAGATGTCACTGAAATTTACGTTCAGTTCTTCTCTAGAAAGTGTAGTTTCAGTATTTCTTCTGAAAACAGGACTTACACTTAATAGCTAGGATACCAGACATGGCTACCACCAAGTCACTTTATAACCTTCCTTCTTTATCAGCTCCAATAGCCCAAGATTCTCCCCCAAAGCAAAGGGTAATATTTTCATCAAGGAGGTAAGCTAAATAAACTGAGGGCAGAGACTATGACCACCTGATATAACCACTGTTTTTGTTGTTAGATACCCTCAAGTCTATCCCAAATCATGATGACCCCTATGAGTAGAATTTGCCCTATAGGGCTTTCAAGACCATGACCTTTCAGAAGCAGACCAATGCTGTTTGTAAATCTGTCACTGGCAGGTTTGAACTGCCAACCTTTCAGCTAATAGTCTCATGTTTAACTATGTGCGCCACCTAGGAACTCCAATGTATCCATACTGCATGGAATATACTTGAGTATCTTGTGTGTGTTTAAGAAATTCTGTCCTAAAGTTTCCTTCAATGAAAACCCAAATCTGATTCCTGTTTCTCCTAACCAAGCTCCTACTGTCCTCCAAAGAAATACAATCAAATGAGGCATGCTACCTTCCAACTTTAAAGGCCAAGACGCTTTAACCAAGAACTTAGTCTTGGCTCCTCACAGAACAGTACTTACATGCTTTTTCTACATTAGATTTGAATTATGGCAAAAAGGCATTTACTTAAAATCTGACTTCCTACACCCTTTTGTATGAAAAAGACTTCCTAATGTACACCCATGTTTATTGCAGCTTTGTTGACAATATCAAGGAGTTGGAAACAACCTAAGTGCCCATCAACAAATGAATGGCTAGAGAAGCTGTGGTATATTCACACAATGGAATACTATGCTGCATTGAAAAAGAAGGAACTCATGCAATATTATTCAAAATGGTTGACTCTGCAGAACATCATGCTGAGTGAAATATCC